AGAGAGAGAGAGAGAGAGAGAGAGAGAGAGAGAGAGAGAGAGAGAGAGAGAGAGAGAGAGAGAGGCAGCTTCATACACGGGGGTAATGTTTCGTCAACAGAAAGGTAGCCAAGTTAAGCCAACCTTAGGCTGTTTCCGTCTGAGCAAGCATGCATACTGGGAAAGCTGATGGAACCGGCCTTCCGATGGCCTAACATCTCCTTGGTGGCAACTAGCAGCAGCACCTGGTGAAATTAATTTTCCAATGCCCAAGTTCCACTAGCCTTTTTTCTTTCTGGGTAAACACTACAAGCTAGTACAAGTGGTTTAGACTGTCCTGGGCACTACCGGCCCTTTACAGTTACTATTTCGGGGGAAGAAGTGTTTTCCTTATTATCAGTGGGCATGAGTGGGGGTACGCATTGGCGAGACAGCCCAGAGAAGTCCCGGATAGCCCAGTGGGATGTGGATGATCTTTCCAGAGCTACGTATTTCAACGGTTTTCAACCTCCATTCCCTGTTGCTCCGAGTCTGATCGCTGATCGTTTCTCAATTCCCTATTTCCCTATAACGTTTTAGGGTTTAGGGTTTGAGCAGTGAAATTGGTCCTGATGACTTGGGGAATAGTTCTCACCTTGGGGGGGAACCGTGTTGGGGGGGGGACCATGTCAGGGTGAACACGCAGGCCACTTACGTGGTCCCCCCCCCAACATGGTTCCCCCCCAAGGTGAGAACTATTCCCCAAGTCAACCCTGTTGGCGTAGATGCCTAGAAAGGATTAGACTTCTGCTGGGCAGAGTTCGGATATGTGACTACTGACCTTGTCCGCCTAGATGTAATTTGATCATAAATGTGGCGGGCGCTGCCTCCAGAGTTTTCCTCTTCCAGATGATGAGGAGAAGAGGAAGATTGAGGAGGTTGAAAAGGGGATAAGGTGGGGGAGGTAGAGGAGTAGGAAGTGGAGGAAGTGCATCATTGAAGTGCTGTCACGACATATGCAGGATCCCATCGCATCAAGGTGATCTACTGTGATCATTGATTTCTTTTGGCGTCCACCCTGTTGCAGTTGATGCATGGATTCCTCTTCTGTTCGGTTCCCTTTCTGCCCAAAGGTGCTTTCTGTCCCCCGTCTGCCCCTCCTATGGATGTGTAGTAATTTTCTACCTATATTTCCGTGTGAATATTTACATACCTCATCTTGAATTTCAATCCTTACTCCCTTCAAGACGTCAACAACAACGACAACCACAATGGCAACAACAAGAGCAACAACAACAAACAAACAACCACACCACTCTCAAACAACAACCGCGCCTCCAACAAACACAACAACTACACCGCTGTCAAACAACAACTTCACCGCCAATGAATAAAAGCCGTGCCACCAACAAACAGCAGCTGCACCAGCGGCCGCGCCACTGACAAACAACAGCCAGAGACAGCAAACGCACCACTGACAGATGACAGCTGTGCCATAGGTAGGCGACAGCTGTGCCAACGACAAACATGATCCACACCACCAGCAAGCAACAACAGTGTGCTTACCAACAACTAACAACAAACAACAACCCACAGACAACAAACAACAACCCACCTACAACAACCAACCACCAGCATGAATGACCAACAATGATCAACAATGACAAACAAACAAAATCAACCAATAATATGGCATCAACCAGCAACAACCAACTGACAACCACCCACCACCACCAACCAACAGGATCAACAACGACAACGATCACAACAATAACAACGACAAACAACAACCAAATAATAACAAACTAAATTAACTAATTAACAACAGCCATTTCGTTACAATGGACATTTTAATATGATTTATTGTTTTAATGATTTAATATATTTTTTGAACGAAATTGAAACAGACTCGTTTGGCATAAAAAGCGCCAAAACTTTTAGCTCCCGAGGGTCCGGTGTTGTAAGTCAAGATGCATCCAGTGGGTCCGGCATTTTAAGAACTCTGGATCCTCGAGAGCGAAAAATTTTGACGTTGATTGGGCCAAATAAGTTGGTTTCAATTTCGTTAAAAAATTATAAAATGTCCATTTTAGCGAAATGGCTGTTTAACGATATATTATCGGATATAATAAAATAATAACAGTGATAGTACCACAAAGAAGTGTACATTTTCCACAATGAAAGTGTGCGCCTAGATTCCCCAACACACAACGGGAAAACCATGTGTGCAATGGGGGGTTAGTCGTTGCAAGGCTTTCTGGGTTTTTTAACAACAAAAAGAAAACGGTGTTTGCTACTTTGTGATCTTCCATAGGCTGATATTTATTGTAATGGCAACCGGAGCTTCAACTGCAATTGCAGCTATAAATAACCTTTCTCAGGTGAGCTCTTCCCTCTTCCTTCTTCCCTCTTCCTTCTTCCCTCTTCCCTCTTCCCTCTTCCCTCTTCCCTTTTCCCTCTTCCCTCTTCCCTCTTCCCTCTGCTCCACCTTTTGTCCAAGGTTGGAAATTCCACAACCACCTCTATGTACTGACCTCAGTTGCCTCGCTTCCTCCGCACCTCATCAATCCACCTACCTCCATCCCGCATCTGAAAAAAATTGCTTATACAGAGAGGGAGAACATGTCTGTGTTTCACATATCACAGGACGATAACCCTCAACCTTGTTGCTTTAATTCTTTTCAACTTCTTTGTGTTTCTCAGGCCACAACAACAAGGTTGTTTACTGCTTCGTAAGATGGCAGCTTTGCAGCTGCAATACCCATTCTTTTCGGAAATTTATTCAAATTTATTCAACTCTATTCAACTCTATTGTGATTGAATTTTGCCGGGTGTCCCCTGCCCGTGTCCCGTGTGCAGGCTGTGGGGTATTGGCCCTTGTAAAACAAAGTCCTTTGTCGCTCCTCAGGCTGATGGATATAAGGTTCCGGGGGCAAAAGATTTGAGAAAACAGTCATATGATACATAACGTTTATGGATAATGAAGAACATGAACAATACAACATTACAAATGCATTCTTGATTATTCCGGTTCTGTCTTGGAGACAGGAGTTTGAGTATCGGTTACTGTGAATTTAATTCAGTCTTGAAGACAGGAGTTCAAGTCCTTTCGCTTCAGATTTAGATGCCTGGGCAAACAGTGGGGGAGGAAGGTGCAAATGGGTACTATCAGCCTAGTATCAGGGAGTATAAACAAGCTGACCCATTTTGTGGGGGGGGGGGGGGGGGGAAGGGGGGGGGGGGGGGGGGGGGGGGGGGGGGGGGGGGGGTAGAGAAGTTAACCAGTGAAGGAAACTCAGAGAAGAGTAGGGATGGATGGTAACAGAAAACAGCAGACATCATCCCTCTGTTGTCTTGTAAAATAGGTTGTATTGGCTGTAAGGTGTTGGCCAGTATGCCCCTTCAATAGGAGGAACAGAAAAAAAAGAAAGACAGCGGACTGTGGAAGGAGAGGGAGGAGGGTGATGACAAAGAGGAGGGGCAGGGGATTAGGAAGATCTCTCAGCCTCTTCATCCTGATTCCAGTTGTGCTTATCATTTGCTGACATCATAAATCATGGCATGGGTGCCGTTGCCTGCGTTCTACTTCGCAATCGATCACATGGTTAATCAGGCCAAGGGCGTACTTTTTTTTTTCTTCGGTTAAGATCTGCTGGGGTGTGGTATTGGGGGTGGTGAGAGCGTCCCCCAGTACTACCCCTTCCCAAGTGGCTCCTTTCTATTGGTGGGGAGCTGCACCTGCTGGAAACCAGGTCCAACATCCCACGTTACACATATCGATATAATGCAGATATAATGTGTGATAGATGATGCACATGGGTTTGAAGTTTGAACTGTGAAAACGTCTCTGACACTACTGCCAACTGTATTCCCTCGTCGCCATGGTGGAAGTATTATGCCTGGTGTTGCACCTTTTGCCAGGTTCGGCATAGTCTCTCTCTAACCACTGCATTTAAACCAATGCGTTGCCTGTGGGGGGAACATGTCTGGAAAGTGCGATGGTGGTCACAGCGGCGCTGACGTGTCTATTCTTGTCCAATTGTGGAAACTCATAGTGTAGTCTCTCCTGATTGGTATCTGGTCCGGCTCTTTCCCTCCTTTCCATTGAACCTCCGCTCTCCACCCTCCCTGTTCCCCTCCCAGTTAGTCTTTCGTGAACCTTGAATTTCTTTAAGCATGTCTGCATTCTCCTGAAATAGGTCGAGTTTTTTCTTCACTGCAGCCCACCTGGCTTGCAGCTCTGTTTCTATTTGTACTTTGATTATCTCTGTGAGTTCTTCCCCTTCTATCCTCACCGCTTCCATTTGATATGTGGCTTCCTTTGTCCACAATGCCCATACTATTGCTCTTTTTCCCACCACGAACATGTTAGCAGTGAAGTTGCTGTCTTGCAGGGGATGCCAGGCCCCGCATAACAGTGCACGCCAGTCCCAAGGCCAGTCTGTGTTTGTCCTTAGCTGCTGCCAGATCCTGTCCAACCATCTCCAAGTGAGGACCGCTCCTGTACATTCCAGAAAGATGTGCTCTTGATTGCTTCTCTAATTCTTCTGGAGGGAAAATCCATTTTCACAGGATTTATACCATGGGAGCCTTTGGGAGGGCAAGACCCTTCCATTCCAGGTGCACATGGTCTATCAGCCAGTCGTTAGGTTTTTTTTTTTCCTGGGAAAAACAGAACCTTACGGTTCTGGCTCCTTTCCATTCTGGGGAGCGTCAGTCCGGTTCCTATTCCACCGGCAAGTCAACAAAAATTACATTAGTTACACACCAACGCTCCTCCCCATTATGGTTGAGAGGCCCGAGTGGACGGCATTGATTACTTCCTCTGTGAAGGATGTACCACGCCTCACCCCTGCCTAAGTTAGCCTATTTGCTAAGTCCTTCTGGGGCTAAACTTAGACTGACTGATGAAAAACTTTTAAGTTTTAACCCCTAAAGTTTATTACCTTACTTAGAGGCCTGCCCCTTTTGGTTCCTCTCAGCCTATTGGCCTTTTGGTTCCTCTCAGCCTATTGGCTGTCAGATTTATGCTATAAGATCTGGACTTGTATGGTGTGCCCTTTGCTGTCCCCTTTCTAAAACCCTAAACCCTAGGAACTTGAACTTAGGTTCTACTGGCTGTCGTGCTAGGAACTTGAACTTAGGTTCTACTGGCTGTTGTGCTAAAACCCTACGTTTTTGTCTGTCCTATTCTCTTTTGGATCTAGTGAATCGGGATCTTGACAATGCTGAGTTTCCTGGCAATCGTGAACCTTAGTCTACTTCTTCGGTTCGCTGTGACTTCTTTAAGGTTGTTCTGTTGCTATGCGGGGTGATTGGGAGGGGAGGAGCGGAATGGGGAGGTCTGTGAGCTGGGGAAGGTTTTGTAGTTCTGAAAAGAGGAGGGTAGGTGACCTGTGGAATTTCGTCCAGCAGACGCCTTGTGGGCGAGAGGTGGCGATGCGAGCGTATTTGTGACAATGACGGGACTGTGTTTCAGTTGGAGGGTGCGGGATTAGTTTGTGTTGGGTATATATGGGGTGTGTTGGTAGACGATGTGGAGAAGATTAGGTGGTTTCATCTTCTGCTGTGATTAGTGTGTGTGTGGGTGAGTTGTGTTGGGGTGTGGATTGGGGTGTGGGTTGTGCGCTGTTGGGGCTATGTTCTTGGTTGGTTGTTGAGGGGCAGATTAACCAATTAGTGAATTTTAATCTGTCTCCTTCGGTTGAGCCTAATTTGCCGCTGCCTAGCTTGCTGGTTGAGAACCTTTTAATACTTTCTTCGTTTTTGTTAGGTAGGGTCTGGATTTGCTTTAGGGTTTTTTTTTCCCATAGTGCGTGTGTTTCTGTTTCGATTATCTGTCTGATGACTACAAGGGGTGTTTCTGAGGGGATGTGGTGGTCGTCGAAGGTGATGCAGCACCGCCTTTTCCATATGACCCATAAGGTGCCTTTTCTGATTAGAGAAAAGAGGAAGAGGTCGAAACCTTTGAGTGGTGGGGATTGATCTGAGTGAAGGAATATGGTGGAGGGGCTATGAGTATGCTTCTGTTGGATAAAGTATACCATGAGAGTTCTATGTCTAGCCACAGCTGTTTTGCGTGCTCGCAATTTAAGAAGCATTTAGAGATTCTTCGGATTGTGTATTGCATACCTTGCACCAGATTGACTGTTCTGTTCGGCTTTCCTTACTTCTTCTCTGGGCTAGCCATTGGTTTATCGGAACTGCTCTGAATGCTATGAGCCAGAGGAGACTGGCTAGTTTGACTGGTCTAGTGCCAAAGATTGTGGGCCAGTGGGGGTGCACAGGTGTTCCGTCAAGTGTATTTTCATGTTTTTCCCATCTTTTTTTAATTATTGATGAAATTGGTTGAGGTTTGTTGAATGGTTTATATCCTAGTCTGGTTGTGTAGTCTGTTAAGGCGTGTCTCCTTGCTACGGGTGAAAGTCTACTGGGGGAGCTCCATGACCATTCAGTGGGGTCTATTTCTAAGTGTGGTATTGTTGTATCTGGCTTGTATGCTCTGTTTCTTTCCCCTCCTATGATTCTAACTCTTCTGACTCTGTCTATTCTGAAGGTACCTTCTGCTCTAGGGTCCTGGGAAATAAGGCTTGCAGGGGTGCCAGGCTCTTTTAGTGTAAAGATGGAGCAGAGGATCCATTTATTGTGGTGAAGTTCTGATTTTAAAATTTCAAGTACCTCTTGAGGTTGCCCTTGGTCTGTTGTTGACGCCCAGTGCCCCCCAAAGTCATTGTTGTTTATTTTTCAGTAGCTTCCTCCATTCCATGGGGATGGAGTCCATGATGAGAAGTAAGTTGGAATCCAGGTGGTGTTTTCCTTCGAGTTCTGTTCTTAATTCTCCCGCTGTATTCCATCTGTTACTCGCTTCGTTCCACAGGTGACGGATTTGCCATACACCTTTTTCCAGCCATAGGCCCCATTTGGAGTTTGTTTTGTTGAGTGGGAGGGATTCTCTGTTTTCGTCCAGGATCCAAGGGTTGCCAAATAAGGGCTGTCTGAGTACTTCTTCTCTCTTTTTTGGGCCGACTTTGTTATCGGGGAAAATTCTTCTCCACGTATGTATTAGATGTTCCCATAAGGTTTTGGGAGAGTCATTGGCGTCCTCTTCTTCTTCGTGTACTACGTCTATTCCGTCTTTCTTGGTTCTCGGGAGGTCCACTGTTTATTGAAGATCCAAAAGAGGCCTGTCATGCTGGGGGGGATTTGAAGGGTGCTAGCTCTCTTAAGTGGTATAGTGCTAGTTGTATCTAGGGTAAATTGCCTTGAAGGGTAAGTCTACTAAGTCTAATGATCCATTTTCTGGCTGGCCAGATCTATGATGCCTAATCCCCCTTCTCCATTGGACTGAGTGACTTTTTGCCAGACAACTTTGTGAATGAAGTGTTGGTTGTCTGGGTTGCTGTCCAAAGGAATGCTGAAGCTCTTTTTCGTATTTGTTTTTAAAAATCTGGGGATGGGACCCATATGGTGGTGACGTACCACATCGTTGCTAGTATTGAGTTGTTGAGAGCTACTGCCCTGCCTAGGAGTGAGGTATGAGCGCTTTGCCAACTGTACATCCTGTTATCAGCAAGTCATTAGTGGGCAAGCAACTGTGTTCAATTTGCCACTGCAGTGATGCTATCTTGGCTGGCTTGATCTCTTACTCCGCAAACCACCGGATCGGGCAGAGGGCCTCACAAATGACGTTCAGGTGCCGCATCCACCGATCCTTAACCTTCCCTTTGAGGTCTACCTTGGGCTGTAGCAATCTGTATGTGGACTTAACCTCCAGGTTAATTAGGGTCTTGGTTTTGCATTGTCCCCAGGGACTATGGTTTGCCCACCACCAGCTCGCTGGGTCAAAGGCTAGTTCGTCAATGGGGGCGCCTGGCTGAAAGGCTACCCATTATGATTCAGAACCCGTATTCGGTGAAGGTTGTCCTTGTAGGCCCAGTCCACCTAGTCCGGGTTCATCCTGTCCAGTATGTTATTGTGGGATTTGTGAAAGAGATTGACTCATGCTCCCTCCTCCCTGACTTCTGCTATACTACCTGCCTTCTCCTCTTCTCCCCTTATGGCCACCCAATCCCCTTCCTCAAGGGTGGGTCCTTTTCTCAGGATTCTTACCAAGGCTAGGAGAATGGAAAAGATGAGCATTTCTCAAATCGTTCCCAACCCTGTGGCGGTACAGAAGGGAGGATTGTAGTCGCTCTTCTATTTTCCAGTCCCTTGTGTCCCGGTCTCAGGGTCCCTACTTAGTTATCCCCTGCTTTACCCAACTCTTACACGGTGCTTTCTAACTGCGGAGTATCCTGCCTCTGGTGTTTGTTACCCATCGGAGGCCAAACAAGGGTTGTCTGCAAACTTCCTCCCATCACTCCGGGGTCATCTTTTTAGGAAGGGGGAGTTTCCTCCATATCTTGAGCAGGGTGGTCCACAAATTCTCCTTCAACCTCCCTGTCCGTTGTGATTCTATTAGGATCTGTGTTGATGCTTGGTGGGAAAGCCCAGTTCTTGTCCTCCAGCCAAAGAAGTGGGTTGATGTTCTTAGGAGTTTGAGGTGCCAATCTGGCCAGCTGCTAAAGTGTCAGGGCCTTCCAGGGGATGTGCGGACAGAAGAAAACATTTTTTATCCACTGCAGAGATAGGGCCATGACCTGGACTACCAGGTTAATAATTCTTAGAATCTTAGTCCCCCTTTGGCTTTTGGTTGGATTACTGAGTCCCAGGCCACCCTGTTAATTACATACATTTGTTCATGATTGCCTCTCCATAGTAATGTTGTTTATTTGCTTCTTCATTCCTTTGGCCGCCTCTTTGCTCAAACCTCACACAACTGATTTGTAACAAAGTGAGAGTAGTACTCTTCCGAACAACGAGGTGTGTTTTTCTTTCCAGAGTGATATCTTTTCCATGGCCAGCTTGAATATCCATTCAGCATTTGATACTTGCTTTCCTTGCATGGTCACGGTCTGATGGGAGATCTCCCCTTTGGTAGTGAATCCACCAATCGAATGTTTTATTCCCCCAATTCATGCCCATGTCTGACGCTTGACAAAAGCTGTCCATTAATTGTTTTATTTCTTGCTAACTGAGAGTGGCTTCCTCCGGGATGGATGAGATCCTCAACCTCTTGATTTCCTTGCTAGTTCGTAGGTTGCCGCTAGCACTCCCATGATTATCAGAAAAAGAAAAGGGGCAATTGGATCAGCTTGTCTAATCGATCTTTGTAGTTGGGCTAGGGTGTCATTTACCTGTACTCTGGTGGTGGCATTCTAATGGAGGATCCCCACCCATCATCTTAAGTAGGGTCTGAAATTCATTCTTTCCATGCATTTATCTAGGAGGTACCAGTCCACATGATCATTTGTTTTCTCGAAATCGATGAAAATGAATGCAGCGTTGTTTTTGGATTGTCTGTATAATTTCAGCATCTCATTCACGAAGAGGATGTTGTCATGGATCCTCCTTTCCCTCATGAAGCCGGTTTGGATTGGATGTATGCGGGCATACTCACACCAGGACTTTCTAAGATGTGCCTCCCAGCAATTGCGGCCAAAATTGGTGGCGGAAGTCCTACCGTCTTCACCCGAATAGAACGCACGGTCATTATAGCTGTATTTGGCAGCCCAGATACGGCGAAAATGACCGGGCGTTCTATTCGGGTGAAGTCGGTAGGTTGAGTATGCTTTAAGTTTGTCACAGTAATCCCGTCCATATGGTCGCAGTGCGCCCTACAGAAGCTTTGCATCATTGTATACATACGTAATCGGTCTTGCCCAATCCATCCCATATGGAAATCTCAGAAACACACATCCGCTCCCTCGTTCCACAACTTCCCTTTTGGAAAATCGCCTCCCCTCTAAGCACCCGTCCCTCTCCTATGCTGTAACTCATGTGCCAAAATGGGCTACGGTCATGCCCTCAGCACCCCCAAAACAAGCGCGAACGGGCAGGCCCTGAGAAAGGTCAAACAGGCCCTAGAAAGAGCCCCTGACCGACAGTTGACCAAAAAGTCAACAGTCAGCTCGTGGACTTAGGCCCAGATCCGAGAAGTCAAAGTCAACACATAAGATTTCCTGGCCGTCGATCTGGAATGATCTAACAGTGGTCTGCAGGTTCCGGAAGATTCAGGCCTCAAGGAGTCCATACCGAAACTGGGACAAATTGCATCTGATCCGTCAACATTCGGATGATCCGGGGCCTCACGTAGACAGAAGCTGACCCCGGACAGCGCGAGTCAACACTATATAGAGTTGACCTCGCCACTGCTTGGACATTCAGTCTTGCGAGTTGCTTGCGGCTTCGATGCTGCACGCGAGACTTGAGAAGGGGACGCTGGCGCCAGTCTTTGCTTCATGGGGGCCAGCCATATGCTGTAGTATGAGAGGAGAGAGAGGAGAAGGCAGCCATTGCTGCGGCCATAGACGGCGGCGAGGTAGTGAGGAGAGAGAGAAAGAGTGGGGGCGAGGTGCGATGTCGTGTGCGCGTACCTCGTCTCAACTAATGTGATGCTGCTGGTGATTCTGCTCGCTGCTGAAGGATCACTCATCTGTGGAGGGCTGCATTTACATCATCCACATGTCATACTGTGTACGGATTGCTGACGTGGCAAAGGTGGGGAAGCCTGGAGGAGAAGAGGGACTTCATTGCTACAATATTCTTCTCCTTCCATCCGTCTCGTCTTCCCCCTTTCTTTTCTAGTCTGGTCACTCTTGGCTTGGAGACTTTACATGTGGTAATGAAGGATTTCGATGACTTTGAATTTGATGGACTAGCTGGAATGATTATCTCACGACATTGCACGACGTTGCTATCTTACGGCATTGCTATCTGGCGACATGATTGATTGACGAGACTGGGCTCATTACACCTCTGTCTATGTGAAAATTTCTGGGGAGCAAAGGTTCAGCTGGAGGAACTTGAGAAGTTTGAATTTAAAAAAACAAACAAAGGAAAAAAGTCAACTCAGTCTGAGGAAACTGGCGCAGTCCATACAAGGTAAGGATCTCGAGGAAAGGAATAGAAATGAAGCAAGGAAAAGTGAAAGGAAGAGCACCTTTGCATTCTATTTTATTTCTTAATTATATTGTACCTTGTCATGATTGTAATCGTTTCTCTCTAGCGAAAGGAATTTTGAACGATTGCTTTGATGCCGAAACCCCAGTTTAGCTGAATTTCTAGTTTCATCTTACTTCAAATTGCGGAATCATACTAATTGAGTCTAATTCGCATGGCATTATTATTTCGTCATTTGCAAACAATTTTGCTCTGGTATCATTTGCAGATAGGCAGAGCACTTCACGTGAATGATGTCAAATTCTTTGTTGGGCTTGTCAGTATCTGGAGCTGTTTTGGCCGCTTGACGGGAGGGTACCTTCTTCTCCCAGATTCCCACCTCTCTCTCTCTCTCTCTCTCTCTCTCTCTCTCTCTCTCTCTCTCTCTCTCTCTCCTGTCTCTTATACACATCTAGATGTGTATAAGAGACAGCTTCAGTGTCCTCCCTGTGTTCCCTTTCTTGCTTCTTCCTTTTTATCCCTTCTCTCCCTTTCCCTATTTTCCTACAAAATTAAAGAAAATGTATCAGAAAAATATTGATACGTGCCACCGAACCAGGAACCCTGGCTTAGTCATAGGGCGCCAATCTATTTGCCAAACAGGCGGCAGCGCCCTGGTTGCCCTGCTCCAGGCAGGATGTCCCTACCTCTTAATGCTGTTTGTCAATTTTGTCGTGATTTCCTTCCTTCTTTTTTTTTGGGAAAAACTGCTCCAATCTATTCATAGGGAGCTGCACTTTCTGGAAACTAGGTCCTGCTGGAAAACTGTTAATGCTGTTTGTTGCGATTTAGATTTTCCTAGGACTGAGAAGGCAAGGAAGAGGTCAGCAAACGCACCAAGAGGTAACAGATTTTGGCTCAATATTCTGGGGGGTACAAAACATGAGAAAAAAAAAAAAAAAAAAAAAAAAAAAAAAAGAAGGGGGGTACAAAACATGGAAAAAAGAAAAACAGAAAAAAACAAAGAAATGAGATTGAGGACAGTGACGGTGGAAAGGGCTGAATGATGGGACAGTGTGATCTTCGAAAGAGTGTAGCACGACCAGGAAAGACACTCCTATTTTCAAGAACCGTGATCCCGGCTCGGTATGCTCCCCTCATAGAACCGCAGATTGCAACTGCCTCCCCGTTTTCCACTTCCCAAAACAGAACAGTGTCAGAATCTGCAGGAGATCTTGCAGACTTTTTGTATCCATAGAGCAGCCGGAGTTGATATGCCTGCCAGCGAGAGGTTAACAATGCAGGTAGGCGATGCGATTGGAGAACCCGTGGAGCCCGACTGCGTGGATGTCACAGACCACTGGAAGCTACGCACACAGACATGGGGACGCATCTCCAATAGCGGGGGCGGTGGTCGGTGAAGGGCCCATATAGCCTCTTTGATAGCTCCCAATCCACACATAATTTCAGCCTGAATCGCCTGCTGGTCAGCAGAATCTGTAAGGTGAGTTTCCTGAAGGGCATAGTATGTCGCGTGGGATGTTATCGAGCCAACGGATTGCTGATTTCAGTGGAAGCATTTTTGTAGTGAGGACAGGATTGTTGCAATACCGTGAACATTTCAGGATCATACGTCCATTTCACCTCTTGCGTTACACTCATCGATGTAGACCATATCAAAGTAGACCAGGGTGGGGGAAGATGGGTAAAGGTAGATTGGGTGTACATACAGGAGGAAACCACCCTTTTAAATGTTTATGGCTACCTAGCCCGGCTGATCCGAGAAGGCTTTGGTTCAACCAAATCAAACAGGAATGCCCTACTCACAGACATTTGATGCTCGTAGGCGATTGGAATGCTACCCCAGATCCTTCCTTTTTTAGATCAGATATCTCAGGCGCGAGATGGTATAGATAAGGTAGAGTCTCACCCAATAGTTGAGTTGATGACCAAAAGAGGTCGAAAAGATGCATGGCAACTACAAGACCCTGATAGAAAGGATTTCACTTGTATCAAGAAAACACGACAACAAAGGACATCGTTCTCTCCGATGGACTCCTTTCTCACTTCTAGGCAAACCAACCTCGAACACTTGCCTGGGGTGCACGGCCGTACTGCACTTCCAGGCGACCCAAGTAACCTGGAATATTAGCACTCGAAGAAAGTACAGAGGTACTCCATGACTCTCAAACTGAAATTCTCACAGTGGTGGCAGGATTTCTTAAGACTTACACATTTCAGATGATCCCAGGTGGGATGGACACAGTGTTACTCACATCAGTCAAACGTTTTGAAAAGTATTTGGAGCCTACGTAGTGCTGGCAGTCTAAGTATCCTGAGTAATCTGTTCCCTTCATGTATAAAGGGACGCTGGACCCGGCTTCAAAAAAGAGTGAAACAGAAGGATTGATAGTGCGGGAGGAGGGGTTAAGTCTTAGTTGGGAGAGGGAGGAACCAGTCTCTCAGTAGTAGGAATCTGGCGCCTGGTAACGGACGAAGAGGTCTCTCCCCTTTTCTCAACAACCGGCACAGTCAATCCTCTGCAGACAGAGTAATCAATGCGGGCAGGCGTCCTTCTCAGTTGATTCATGTTGTGTAAGGGACGCTGGACCCGTTTTCCAGCAGGTGACGCTCCCCACCAATAGATGGAGCCTCTCCCCGGGTGCTAGTGATGCCTGCTCTTATCAGCAGCACTAGCACTGCAGGGGGTGTATTAAAAAAAAAAAAAAAAAAAAAGTATGTGGCCGGGCCGGATGCTGTAGCCTATCTTGACAAGCCTATATCAAGGCAGGAGCTTGTGCTATTGGTACTACTACTAATTCCTGAAGACATCAAGCCAGGCAAAGTGCCAGGGAAGGATGGGCTCTCAAGGAGTATTAGAGACCTGTTTTTTTTTTTTTTTTGGAAGGAGTATTGTCAGACAATTGGTGATGCTCCCCCAGCCTCACCGAATGGATAAGGACCCGCGAAAGTAAGGATATTTACTATTTAGTATTTACTATTTAGGACCTCTTTTGTTTTTTTTGTTTTTTGTTTTGAAAGGAAGTTTTTTATTTTTTTCAAACCACAAGTAACCTTCACAGGCAAACTCAAAACCTCCTAAGAATGCGGGATAACCTATATGTCACATTCTTTGGAGGCCGGGTGCCACCAGACATGCCACCAGACCAAAATGGCTGGCGGGGCCAGCCAAAAAAAAAAAAAAAAAGTTGCTTTGGCGCTTCGGCAAAGCTTGCCGCGCAGTTCTTTTGGCCTTGGCAAAAAGAGATCTGGAGGTGGTGGTGGTTTAAGTCTATGGCCAGCAGTGGGCCCAGCACTAAGACTAGGCTTTCCATTTTCTTTTCTTTTCCTTTTTTTTGGTGTGTGTTGTTGGGAGGGGGGGGGAAGGGGAGCAGCCCCTCAGAAGACCCCCATCGACCCTTTAAGATTTAGAATTTTAGAGACCTGTGTCAGGCAGCTAACAGCAACGACGGATGCTGTTGTTGGTTTTTATGTTGGTTTTTATGCTGGTTTCTGGCACATTGTGTGTGCAGGTTTTTACCTGACATTTTATTAAAGAAAGGTGTGCCTCGGCCAGTTAGTCTCTGCTTTTCAACTGGCATGATATCAATCACTCACCTAGTTCTCAAGAGTGGCGGTAAGAAGCAAGCTGGGCTGGATGTTGCTGCCTTTGTGTTGAACATCCATCTTCCTTGACCCTATTGTTTTTCTTTTTTTTATATTCCTTCCTTTTTTCTTTTTCTTTTTAATTCCCGATGGACCACGGATCAGATATTAAACTGGTCATCAGAACAGATAATACACTTGATCTATTTTTAGCCAAAAGGCTGAGAAAGGTATTCCTTGACCCTATTGTGTTTAGCAACTTCAACTTTAACTACTTCTATTTCTTATGTACCAATTGGTCATGGATGAGCCCCATAAGTCTGGAGTCTGGACTTTCTGTAGTAAACCAGGGGAATGTACCCGAACGTTATGAGGATTTTAAGACTAGGAAGATTCTCACGCCCGGCTGGTCCTGCCCGGCCGGGCACCCGGGCGTACAACAAAAAAAAAAAAAAGTTTTTTTTTTTTGTTTTTTGTTTTTTTTGTTTTGTTTTCTGCGCTCTCCTAAACAACCCCAAATCCGGGCTCATTTCTGTTTTTGCGAATTGGCTGTCAAGGGGGGGTGAGAGGGGTATAAATTGGTTTCAAAGGGGCTAAAGGGGTTTAAAAGGGGGTGTCTTAGTGTGATTCTGTTATTTTCTTTGTTATCTCCGATTCTGTGAAGAATTTTAATGTGACCCTCAGCCAAAAGTCGTTTGTATTGCAATTCTAGTATTATTCTACACAACATATTTTTTTTTCAGAATTTTTTGATTTTTTTAATTTTTTTTTTTTTTTGGCGCTGGGGCTGCCCGGAACCCTGCCCGGGGGTCATGCCCGGCCGGGCACCCGGGCGTGTACCCAGGCATAAGTTGGGTGCCTGGGCGCCCGGAAAAACAGCTTAGCTTTAAGACTCTTTTTTTTTTTTTTCGCTTCATGATGTTGACAATCCCAGGCTTAGCTCTCAAGTAGACAGGTTAAGAATGGTGGCAAAGGGGGTTTAGAATCCTGCACAGGGGGTTAAAATGGTGGCAGAGGGGGTTAAGAATGGCGGTTCATTTGCAATCGTCCAATGTCCATGACCCTATCCGTAGTGAGCCTCTCTTCTCTCCCTCCTCCACGTGGAAGACTGGGCTGTTTGGGGACTGGGAAACTATGAAACTGTCCTTGGCCTTTTGTAGGTTGTTTGTCTACCCAGTGTGCGTCGTCACAAACAGCAAGGGATGGGGGAGTGGGAAGGGTGTGGGGGATGGGGGAGGGAGGAGAGAATGGAGTTGGAGGAGGGGGACAGGAAGAGAAAGGCCCGACAGCTGTTCTTGTGTATCGTTAAGTTGTATTACAGTTGGGGGTTGGTTGGAGGATTCTGATCGATGGATTTTGCTGCAAGGGCTGCAAGACCATATTCGCACTAGGACTTTTTTTTCACTGAAACGGGCCCTCCTTGGGTTTCGATGAATCCCAGAAAGTTACCTGTGAGTATTCCCCAAGTTATTTATGGACTGATACAACAACGCGCATCTGCTGAGTGCCAACGCAATCTTTAATCGTCAGCTGACGATAGAACACAGGAAGAACAACATCGGCAAACACAAGGAAATTGACGGAAGGGACAGAAAAACAGCAAAACACCAAAGCACACTTCAATTAGAATAAGGAATGCACATTATATGAGGCTTTACTCTTGTGGACAGTAGGATACAGTGTGCAGGTGTAGGATTGGAGGAAAAGTTCAATAGTTATCGCCCTTCTGCCTCGTCCACTCAGGCTGAGTCACTTTTACTCTGATAAGCTGTAAACTTGAGTGAAGAACACTCAGGGGCAGAAGATGAAATTATGAAAGGCTGACTCTCTTTTACTTCTGCCCCAACTTGAGTATCTTTGGTGCATCACTGCATATACATTAATGAACCATAAGATCAGAAGTGTAGAGATGAGATGATGCAAGTTGCAGAAGATGGATATTGTGAATTTTTGCCGTTCTGACTTACGCATTCTGCTCTCTGTGTGAATCACTAATGGAGGAAAGTTTGTGCATGGTTATGGTGTCCGTCCTCGACTCACAATTTCTGTCTCTTCCTTACAGCAATTCGACTGGGTTCGGTCATGATCGGCTTCTGTTACGGGTCATATTGGAGCATCACCCCTCCCATTACATCTGAGATATTTGGTCTCACTCACTTTGCAGCAACATACAAAACTGTCACGTAAGCAGTCTTTCGCTCGCCTTCCCTCTCCTCCACCCAGTTGGCCCAACCTCAAACACATGCAAGAGCCCAAGAAAGGCCTTTCTACAACCTCCTCCCCTGCTCCCTCCCGTCAAACATCCATCCATTCATTCATCCATCCATCCATCCATCCATCTCTCTCTCTCTCTCTCTCTCTCTCTCTCTCTCTCTCTCTCTCTCTCTCTCTCTCTCTCTCTCGTGACATGAACTCCTCATAATGCAATACTGCACAGATCCAGATCATACTATTTACAAGAATTTATTCCTGATCTGTGAATGCCTGCGTCATACTTAAGCAGAAAGGAGATGAATGACAGTCACTGAAGAACTGGGGGATCATGAGTTAGTTTTTCTTAAAAGCGATTAAGTTGGGAGTGGAAAAGATAATGCCACACCCAAAAGGGGTAATTCTAACCTAGTCTGTGCTCACACTGGGACTTTGCTGGGTGCATCTGGTTGCCGAAGCTGCCAGGTTCATTCGAAGAAGCTCCTCGTGTGAGTATATGCCCTTATTCACAAATAGCAACACAAATTATTCAAATAGATCCTCCACGAGGGCAGCTGTACCACATGAGTGTTTTTTTTTCTTCTTTTCTTATAAAGAATAAATTGTCAAAAGTTCATAACGATCCCTTCTATAGAATCTGTACCCCAGAAAAAAGAAAACAACACAAAATAGAGGGGTCTGAAGTAACTCTACGAAATCAGATTACCCCGTTCATGTGACTGCACGGTACACTCATGTAACTGTGGGTAGAGAGACCCAAGTTCAAATCCTGGTGGAATCAGATGAATAGAATAAATCTGAATGTCGTCAGTTTGATGATGATACCTCAAGGCCATCACCCCAGGTAATTCCGAGTGCAAGAAGAAAAAAAAAGAAAAAGGATTGTACAGCTCACTGATCCCACTACCAAACACGTGGCGAAGACGAACACAAGGAACGAGCAACCAGGCTGAGGCCATCCACCTCGGATTCCGTGCTCTGTAATGAGCGGCATCGGGATCTGATTCGAAAACCCGCACGAAGGCTCAGCAATACTTTTTGGATTGAATGGATGTTTGAAAATTGCGCGCGGTTGTTTCCTTCCCCCGCGGCGATGACCATTTCTCACTAAACCGGAACCACGCTGGGGACTTCAGTTCCGTCTGTTTCCCCGCACTCAATTTTCCAAAAATCCTTGGCACACCCCATTTTTGCTGTCTTTCGGGGCCTATTCAGCACAACTTATCACTCCGACCGGAAGACAGTGCAGGGCATGAAGTTAGAACGTCACAGGTTCTAGTACAGATAGGCCTGGCCTCTATAACAAATATACACACATACTCATACATCCTGGTTCTCGGTACCTGCCGATAAGTTGTAACTACACAGCCTACAGGCGCACCTATACACCGCCTGAGGGCGCATAGCCGTAGCCTATGGGGACTCGCACAACCTGCGGTCACTAACACACTACACACCGCTACGGCCAGATACATATGGCGTTCGGGCATACGTACCGCTTACAGTCATATCTATAATACCTGTGAGTATACACACATACATGCAGGCTACGCTACAGACATGTCGATAGAGTTAGGTGGGGAAGACCGATCTCTGTCAGAGGTTCGTCATGGGGTTCAGATCCGGGCTACGGGGAGTCTGCTCTGGCCTGTGCGAATGCTTGGCCAAGATTCGGTTCGTCGGTAGGACTGATAGTCTGATAGTGATATTGATTGTGCCTGACTTCTGAAGTCCTCGGGTAACAAGGTTTGCATGTTCCGGCTTCCACTGGGGCTGGGTGGGGTAGCTGTCTAGCCCAGGTGCCTATAACTACTGTTCGGTCTATGTCTCCCTCTGAGGGGTAGGGTGATTGTCCTAAGTGCTTGTACCACTGAGGTAGGATAGTGGGTATAGGTGGTGCGTTAGGAAAATTGATGTGAGGATGGGTAGGGTGGCAGTCCTACCATCGCGAGTCTGGGCACCCAATGGCTGATTGAGCTGGATAGTACCAGGAAGGTGACCTCTCCGGCCACACCTGGCTGGCGTGTGGTCTGTGAGTGGCGCCAGTGGAATACCACCAACTCAGGGCATACCTCCCCCGGGAACTTCCGATTCGGTGGCCGGAATAGTACTGGGTTGGTTGCCTACTGGGAAGCTTCCGTTCCAGCGCTCCTATGACAGTACCCGCCTGGGTCTATACCCGCGTCTACAACAACCTGGGCTCTTTTTTTCTTTAAAAAAAGAAAAAAGAGAAAAGAAAACAGAAAAAGAGACAGAGGAAGATAGATGAGAAATATGAGGATAGATTGAGAGAAGAATATAGCTGAGTTAAAATATAAAATAAAATAAAAATGGATGTAGTGTGTTGTGTAGTGGAGAGAGGCCCTCTAGCTGCTCCGCTCTGTTCCTCGTTCCAAACAATGGCGAACGTATTTTGGACCTTTCTTTCTTTTTCTTTTTTTTTTGGACCATTTCTCGATTTGTGTGTGTCATCCTGGCGCAGGGGCCATGCGAATCTCTCTCTTTTTCTTTTTTTTAAAAGCTATGTTCTTCTCTCAATTTCACCTACCACTACTCCTAATTGTAGGCATACGGGGAACCCCGTAGCAGCCAGAACCGTGTTCACAAGAGAACATGCGGGGGCTGCTCCCGACCTGCACATGGGCGATACCGGCTAGGGGACAGCCGGTAGCGTCAGGGACCATGCGAACATGACCAATCCCTGTGCCTCCCCTCAGGTGGTGGTCCCCAGCCGGTAGCATCAGGGACCATGCCAACATGACCAATCCCTGTGCTCATAGTAGCTGTATTTTGTTGAACTTTCTGTCTAGATACAGCTATAATGCCTTCATATTTGGCAAGTGGCGAAGCCCGGCCCTAGAAAAGAAAGAAACGAGCGAAGCCGATACTCCAAAACCAACGAGCCTAGCTCAGTTGGTACACTCATGAACTGCTGAAACCATGGGTCTCGCTCCACTACTCTAGAAACCAGCCATTTCTTGAGCTCAGCACCGCTCCACTAATTCTAGACGCGAGGTCTGGAATTCGGGTTCTTGAGCTGTCAGTATCTACTCACGAAAATGGCAAGAATCCATCGTCGCTCCACTACTCACGAAACACACTCACGAAAACGATTTTCGTGAGTTGTCAGAACGTCCTCTCCCGTGGCAATCTTGACGTTTCGAGAGCGCCCGCCTGCACCGGCATGAATTTCAAGGGAGGCAGCGAGGACCTTCGAAAGTTGAGCATTTTTATGGAGTGCACCTGGAGTCTGGGCGSACAATAACCTGCTGGCCGTGTCTTTTAGCTCTCTCAAAGAGTGGTCTGACATCCGAGAGGCCTTCTCGAGTTCTACCTTCTAGAGTAAGTGGAGCGATGTTCTCTTTTTCAGTCTTTTCTAGAGTCTGACAGCTCTAGACTCACTCTCGAAAATCTTCGAGAGTCTAGAGTAGTGGAGCGAGACCCCATATGGAGCAATCAGATGTGAACAGAACAAAATATAATTCTGAATTACCTGTACCGAGGCAGGACAATCATGATACCTCAAGGCAGGCGGCCTTTTTAGTGGGAAAAAAGAAGAAAAGGGAGGTCCAAAAGAGCCGCGGAGTTTGGGCGCCCCTGCGGGAGGGGGGTGTCGCGGAAAGAGGAGTCCCCTATGGTGTTGGTGTGTTACGCGCGGTTTGTCTTTGTGTCATCCATGAGGCCTCGCTCCACTACTCTCCACATGCACAACAGACAAAAGATATGGTGGTGAATCTTCCCATGTTCTAGCGGAAGATTCGTTATCGTTTTGCACATGTGGTGAGGCCCATGGAGTCTCCTACGGTGTGTTACGCGCGGTTTTTCTCTGTGTCACCCATTCCTCAACTGCGCGCGTTGGCGCAGACAGTTGCTGGGTCACAGAGAAACAACCGCGGAGGTAAGGGCCTCGCTGCACTATCCAAAAGTGAAAAATGAGAACGAATCTTCCGCTAGAACATGGAAAGATGCACCGCCGTATTTTTTCTGTTGTGCATGTGGAGAGTAGTGCAGCGAGGCCCTAACTCTGGCCCAGCGTAGCCAGACGGACTGTCTCTTGTGTGATGATGGGCGCTACGCGGCCTCCCCCATCGACGGCCTCCCCCTCTCAATTCCGGTCGTCAATCCCTTGATCCTTATACTCCTCCAGCTCCCGCCAGACGTGGCAGGACGGGGAGGAGCGGGAAGTCGGAGAAAGAGGAACCAGGGGGAACGAAGGGAGATCGCGCGGGTGGTTGAGGAGAGCGGTGGTGGTGCTGCGGGTGTGAGGTCTCGAGCGCGAGGTGGTGGTGCTGCGGGTGTGAGGTCTCGAGCGCTAGGTAGCGGGAGGTGTCGTCAAGTAATTCTGTCGCAATGGCCGCCGGCGCTGCGACGACGGTAGTCGGGGGGGTGGCGATGGTGGGCGCGAGTGGTGCGGCGGGGTCCATCTCCTTCAAGGCAACGTCAGGAATTGGCGGGAATCGATCCCCAGATGGCTGCGCGCTTGACGGCGTCAAGTGCGCACGTGCATCCTCATCGCTTGCCGGTGGCGGCGGCACCCTTGCTGCAGCGGCGGCGGCGGCCTTCCGCCTTCGGTCGTCCCCCGTCATCTCCCGCGTGAATTGCGCCAAGTGCGTTCGCCATCGCGTTTCTGTAGGTTCTTCTTCTTCCTCCTCGTCGTGCGGGTCGGCTTTCTCGTCTCTCCGCTCGGAGGCGTTCCGCGGGACGCCGCTTTGCGCGCCTGTAGAGGCAGCGGAGGAAGGGCGGCGCTGCGCGAGGGCTAAAGGAACCGCAGGAGGGCGGGAAAAGAAATCAATCTATCGGCTCCACGTGGCAGCCGCCGCAGCCGGCGAGAGCTTCGACTACGACCTGGTTATCATAGGCGCGGGAGTGGGCGGGCACGGCGCGGCGCTGCACGCCGTCGAGCAAGGCCTCAAGACTGCCATCATAGAGGGCGACATTGTGGGTGGCACTTGCGTCAACAGAGGCTGTGTCCCTTCCAAGGCCTTGTTGGCGGTCTCTGGGCGAATGCGCGAGCTGCGCGACGAACAGCACCTCAAAGCGCTGGGTATACACGTGTCAGGCGCAGGCTACGACCGGCAACTCGTCGCAGACCACGCGCAGAATCTGGCGACCAAGATCCGCAACAATCTGGCCAACTCCATGACCGCTCTCGGTGTCGAGATCCTGACCGGCACTGGCTCTCTCCAAGGCCCTCATCGCGTTAAGTACGGCAAAGTCGGCTATCCCGACAAGCAGGTGACTGCGAAGAACATCATCATAGCCACAGGATCCGTCCCGTTCGTTCCGCCTGGGATAGAGATCGACGGCAAGAGCGTGCTCACCAGCGACCACGCCTTGAAGCTCGAACGGGTCCCCGATTGGGTGGCCATCGTGGGCAGCGGCTACATTGGGTTGGAGTTCAGTGACGTGTACACGGCTCTAGGGAGTGAGGTGACCTTCGTCGAGGCGCTGGAGACGTTGATGCCTGGTTTTGATCCCGAGATCGGACGGATGGCACAGCGACTGCTAATCAACCCGCGGAAGATCGACTACCATACCGGCGTGTTTGCCAAGAAGATCACGCCTGCCAAGGATGGTAATCCTGTGGTTATCGAGCTGATTGACGCGAAGACCAAAGAAGACGTCGATACGTTGTACGTGGACGCTGCTCTCATTGCCACTGGAAGGGCGCCCTACACTAAGGGGTTGGGACTGAGCAATGCGGGAGTGGAGACGCAGAGGGGTTTCGTACCCGTTGACAGCCGGATGCGCGTGCTGGACAAGGACGGGGAGGTGGTCCCAGGACTCTACTGCATTGGAGATGCGAATGGGAAACTGATGCTGGCGCACGCTGCCAGCGCTCAAGGAATCTCGGCCGTCGAAAACATGTGCGGCCGGGATCACGAGGTCAATCACTTAGCCGTTCCCGCCGCCTGTTTCACGCATCCGGAGATCAGCTTCGTTGGGCTTACCGAGCCTCAGGCTCGGTCTAAAGCTGAGGAAGAGGGGTTCGCCGTTGGGGTTGCCAAGACCAGCTTCAAGGCCAACTCGAAGGCGCTTGCTGAGAACGAGGGGGAAGGGATGGCTAAGGTGATTTACCGCATGGACACGGGAGATATTCTAGGGCTGCATATCATTGGCCTCCACGCGGCTGATCTTATTCATGAAGCTTCCAATGCTATTGCGCTTGGGCAGAGGATCCAAGACTTGAAGTTCGCTGTGCATGCCCATCCCACCCTCTCTGAGGTGCTAGATGAGCTCTTCAAACATGCCAAGCTTCCACAGAAAGAGTCGTTGCTGGAGCCCCAGACAGTGGTTGCATGAGAGGGAGAAGGGGGGGGGAGGGAGCGGGAGAAAAACAATAGCGAGAGGGGTAGAGCGAAGGAGAGAGGTCAGGGGGAAGAGATCTCGACGCGCAGGTGGAGGGAGGGAGGGTGTAGACCAACTTTCCATTAAAGGAATCTCACGCTTGAGCATACACAGGTCCTGTGGTAGCTCGCTCTAGCGCGTCGTCTTACGCGCTATAGCAGAGGAGCGTTTGAAGAAAGTGAGTGCAGGGTGGAGAGCGTGAGGAGGAGTAGGACACAGGAAACGAGAAAGGAGGGGTCTCATGCGGTTAAAGTGTGGCTTGATGGACTCTGCAAAAACCTCAAGGAGGTCCTGCAGAAGTCGGAGCTGAGCGCTGAGCGCGCTGGGCCGGAAGCGAGATCTCGCTCAGAAACACGACTGCAGACGTAAGGTAGTGGACGATGATGGGGGAGAGAGAAAAGGAGAAGTTGAAGGTTGTGCATCGCATGCAATCTGCTTGAGATATTCATTCATCGACATTCAGTCAATGCTGCCCGGCCGGAGTCCTCGGTGGAATTGTTCGACCTGCCAGGATAGCTTTATCTTCTTGTGGCTGTAGGCGCGAAAGAAGTGAGGAGAGAGAGGGGTTGGAAGAGTTGTCCGAGCTGCCAGGATAGCTTTATCTTCGTGTGGCTGTAGGCGCGAAAGAAGAGAGGAGAGAGAGGGGTTGGAAGAGAGGGAGGAATGGGAAGAGTGGGAGGGAGGACAGGGAAGAGGGAAGGGCTCACGTAGAGGAGAGAGAGGGGTTGGAAGAGAGGGAGAAATGGGAAGAGTGGGAGGGAGTACAGGGAAGAGGGAAGGGCTCACGTAGAGGAGAGAGAGGGGTTGGAAGAGTTGTCCGAGCTGCCAGGATAGCTTTGTGTGGCTGTAGGCGCGAAAGAAGGGAGGAGAGAGAGGGGTTGGAAGAGAGGGAGGAATGGGAAGAGCGGGAGGGAGGATAGGGAAGAGGGAAGGGCTCACGTAGATCATTATCATCTTCAGAAGAAGCTGCGCTCATTGCTCATCGAGGCAGTAGAATAGGTAGGGAGGGGGAGGAAGGGGGAGGGGGGGCAAAATTGAAGTCCGTGTGGTTTTGTTACTGTGGAGGATCTGCTAGAGGAAGTATAATTGGGATTGTTTGCTGAGGTGCACATTGTGAATTAGTTGCAGTTAGTGAGGTCGGTAGAGAAGTAGTGGGTAGTTTTTTAGCTGATGGTTGCCGTGGTTGTACACGTTATTGATTGATGTTTGCTCGCTTTCCCTAGAGTCTCTCTCCTCCTGTTTGTTTCTTCTTTCTTCTCTCTTCTTCGTGTTGCTTGTCCTTCCTCCTCCTCGTCGTCTGTGCTCATCGTCTTAATTAATCTGCCAGCTTGGCATGGGGCTCTCCCGGGAGGTCTCTCTCGGGAGTCTCGGGAGACTGGGGGATTGCATTAAAAATTCCGGGGAGAATGGAAGGGGCATTGCAATCAGACTCGTGCTGTGTCATTTGCCCGAAATGCAGATGGGTAATGGCAAACTCGTGGTCAGAGGGGAACGTGGAGGTGGTGAGTAGACGGGATGGAAGGAACGCCCCACCCTCCTCGGGAGGTATCTCCCGCGGGGTGAGCCCGGGCAGTCAGGCGCCGGCCGAACGCATCCCTCGAACCCATGCTGGCGTTCACTCAGAGAAGTTCGCTGTGACGGTCAGCAGCAAGCAAGGAGGAGGGTAGGTATATAAAAGGATGGACCAGATCAGAGGTGTTTACCTCGTTCTAGAGCCGAGGGCCGATTGGGGGGGTGCGTGGGGGCGCGGGAAGTAGAGGACGTATTGGTGAATAAACGTGTAGGTGAGAGAGAGATTGAGAGAGAGAGAGAGAGAGAGAGAGAGAGAGAGAGAGAGAGAGAGAGAGAGAGAGAGAGAGAGAGGTGCACGTCATGATGGTAGGAAACCAAGGAAAGCAACTGCTGACACACAGCGAGAGAGAGAGAGAGAGGTGGTATTGTGTGTACCTGCAAAAGTGTGTTATGTCTGTGTGTGTGTGTGTGTGTGTGTGAGAGAGAGAGAGAGAGAGAGAGAGAGAGAGAGAGAGAGGTTGCGGGCTAGTGTGCTATTGTGAGGCATTTTTAAACCGATGGTCGGACATGATTGGCGTACTCTGTCTGGTCTGCCCGTGCCAGGTTGGTTGAGCCTGGCCCCTCTTAGGGAAACTTTCCCAGGGAAATTCTCTGTGGTGGAGTATGAGATCTCTTAGACCAACTCTGTTTACTCTGGGGTAGTTCTGGTCGTGAATGTTTCGTCTCGACCGCTGGATAAACGATGGTTAGTTATCCACTCATCGTGACTCGAACGCTAGTATAAACGCTGGTTAGTTATCCACGCCTTAAATCCATTTTTGGTGAACTGTTAAGGCCTACGTTGTACCTGCCTGGGGTCTTGCTGGCAGAGGCTGTGATCCATTGTTACTGGATTTTGCTCCAACCAGTGTTTGAACTCCATTGGTCAATAAAAGAGAGGTCGACGCCTAGGCTGTCTGTGCTATTGTATTGTCCGATTGCGATTCCGGTCAAATCTGTTAGCTGGTAGTAGCTGGTAGATCAATACTGTGGTGCTCTAGGTTTGGGCACGAAACACAGAAGTCAACCTGTCTCTTAAAGAGGTCAGCCCTAACTTTCTTCTGTTGTATCAGGACTTGAACTGATCATCTGTTCATTCATCGGCACCGACATGTGTACCATTCAGCCGAGAGGTAGGGTGCAACTGGTACTCGACATTTGGAAGGCTTTCAGATATTTGATCGGGGTTGGAGGATGAGAAGGGGGGAGTAGGGTGAGAGGTGAAAGGAATGTGGTGACAACCGTTTGTGATTATAGGAGATATTCCGCTCGAGCCGGGATTTCATTGGACAATTTAAGTCCGAGCTCTCAGATATCTGATCAGGGTCTTGGTCGAGGAGAGGGGGGCGTTAAATAAGGGGCGGCGGGGGGGGGGAGGAGGAGAGAGGAGAAAGGAGAAAAGAGTGCAGGCTTTTTGTAGAACGTCCCTTGTGAAGGTAGACGGTTCGAGATCTCTTGAGACAAACGAATTCTCTGTGAATGTGTGAATGTGCAAGACTATGTCTTGCACATTCCATATATGGTGGTGTCTCTATGAATGAGCAAGACCATGTCTTGCACATTCCATATATGGTGGTGGGGCTATGTATCACCATAGGTGCAGGTTAGTGGAAGCTGATCATAGAACGTCCCTGGTGAAGGTAGACGATGACACCCCGGTTGGAGGGAGACCTCTTGAGAACAGAAACAAACCTTAGTTGCGGGGACTATGCCTTATACATTCCATATATGGTAGAGGGGCTATGTGTCTGCTCAGGTGCGGGTGCTATGCCGAGCACATTTCCCATTGTAGAGGGGCTTTGTACACATTTGTTCTGTTCCCGATATATCAAGCCCGGGAAAAAATAGTGGAAGAATTTGGACACGGATGAGTTTGGGCGCTCCCGTAGTGGTCTGTTCGCCAGCTCGCACTTGTAGTGACCTAGGAAGGAACTGAAGGTGATGCTTAGTACGGTTCGTCAGAGTGTTTGATAATGAGTTTGCTTAGTTTCTGTATACAAGGCCTGGGTGTTTCGACACTGTTTGACCGGAGATTTCTCTTCAACTTATACACATGCGTTCTATTGGATGGCAGGGGGTCGGCTGTGTCATCTTAATTCTAAGAGGTCGAGGCTGCCATAGAGAAGGAGTGTGTGCTGCTGCGAAGGAGGATGGTTAACGAGTCAGACACAGTAGCACTGACAGGCAGGGCTAATTTCTGGATGCTGGACAGAAATTGCTGACAGAGGAGGATAAAGGTGGCAGAGGGCAGGGGAGGTCTCTGCAAGGAAAGCGGGTGGTGCATCTTGCCTTGCCACAGGCGTTGACTGTGATCTAGGGATCTGAGAAGGATATGTTGTCGAACTATGGTGCTTTTGGACATTTGTATAGGAAGACGGAAAGCGAGTAGATGGAAAGAGAGGGCCAAGGAGGAGAGGCTTTCTCTGGCCGTTTTGTGATCGGTCAACTCTATGACAGTACTACGTTGTTCTCTCTTGACTGTGCAGACATCCTGTTTGTTGTTTCATTTTTTGCTTTGGAATGTGCAGTGCTGTGAGCTCCACATTCGAGAACCGGACTGACTGTGAACCCTCTCTGTGTATGCTTGTGTGTGAATTTATGTGTGTGGAAGAGATTAGTGAGAGAGAGATGTGTGTGTGTGTGTGTGTGTGTGTGTGTGCGAGAGAGAGAGAGAGAGAGAGAGAGAGAGAGAGAGAGAGAGAG